CCCAAAACTGGCAAACACTCTGGCAAACACTCAGATAATGAGGCAAACATCAGCAGGTGTGTGTGAGGACCAACAAGAACCAGGCGCCACCTGGTGGTGGAGGTAAAACAAACAAAAACACAACCCACACAGACTGAATTCCTAACAGTTTTATGCAGCCGGATTTAGGAGTCCAAACTTTTATGTAAGAGGCTAAGAACCCTGTTCAGTAAGCAAATTACAGTTATAATCATTCAACAGATACCGGTAATAATTAATTAGTTATACCCTTGATTCCAATGACCTTTTAATTAACTATAACTTTCAGTTCTAGTTAATTCTAGTATTCTAGTATTTAATTCACAATCGTCTGGTAAACTTGCACAACAAAATGCTTTAACGCTTATATTCAAAAAAGGATGAATATGAAGAAAAAATGGCCTAATCTATGACATAAGCTGGATCTGGATGATGTTATGTGCTTGTTTGTTTTTCTAAAGCACTCATAAAACTTAACTACTTCCATGGCTGTTTCTACTGAAGCCTGTGAGATGAGTTTATAAAAGGAGAGCAGAGATGACTAAAGGACTCTGGTCAGTCCACAGGACCAGGTCGAGAGCCAGGGGCGGATTTAGGAAATGTGAGGCCCTAGGCAAAGACAGGCAGAGGGCCCTCTGAAATGTTAATAGAATGGACATCCATTATTTGTTCTAGGTTTTGACCCTCGCTGTTTTGAAATCAAAGTGCTAGAGGGGTCTGAAAAGTTGCTAAATATAGCGACTAAATCGCTAAGTTGGTTACACTGCTCTTTGCATCGTTTGTTTTCAAATGGTTTGCCGCTGTCTGTTTGGACTGACCTGTAGTCAGAAACATGATTAATGTGAACAAATAAGGAATAGTTGTATTAAGCATACATGTAAACAGAGTTTTATGGGGCCCCCAGGAACTTGGGGCCCTAGGCAGCTGCATAGTATTGCCTAATTGTAAATCCCCCAAAGGAAAGGTCAAAGATCGCTCTCTCTCTTTTGTCCCACCATTTGTTTTTGAAAAGACTTCTTAAATATCCTTAAAAGGCATAATCTTGTATTTAATGTTCTTGTTAAGCAAGATTAAAATGCAACAGAAACTAAAAATGGAGGAAAACAAAAGAAAAGTGAGACTTAATTGATTGATAATTGATCACATCCAAAATGTGATCAATTATCTGGTTTCATAACTTCTGACATTTGAAATATAATCAACTTTTATTCAGATGATCTGAATATTTTAAAGTTACTCTTTATTTTTTACATCCCTATGTGTTATTTTAGTTCTGTGATGTTTGTTAGTTGTTGTTATTTGTTGAAAGGTGGATTGCAGATCAATGTTCCTGCTGGTTTGTCCTGCAGGAAGGATCCCACGCGGATTTGTCGTCTTCATCAGTAAAACCTCCTCCTTTTCGTGGAGGTGGGATAGTCCTGAAGGTAGCCTCGGTCGCTCTGACGGAGGATGGATGCTCTATGAGCCAGTCAGGCTGACTCAGTGGCATATTAACCTGTTATTGACGGGCTCAGCCTATCAATAGACATGAATCAGATAGTCTTAGTCATTCCACCTCGGCTGGTTTTTGTGTCACACGCTGAAGGCTGCATAGTTTAACAGTCTCGTTTTGTTTTTTCGCTGGTAGGATGTGATTATAGCCGCTGAAGGATTCCTCTCCTCTTATTGCGCAGGATGATGCTGCAGCTCCGCTACGTCTCCACACTCCAACCCAACTTGAAACGGCTCCCCTTACGCTGCTGCATTCAGGCCCTGCGACTGAAAATCTCAGACTCTTACTTTCCATACTTAAGACACTGAAAGCTAACTCACATCCGCACAGCTCTACACCGAATCACTTTTTAAAATAGAATAAACCACAGATGTGCCTTTGCACGAAAAATGCTCAGATATCTGCAAACGTTATATAAAAAAACAAACGACAATAAGGTTACTATGTACATGTTTTAATAAATAAATAAAGGTTTATTTATCATGTCACGATAATTCCAAAAGAGCCGAATAAAATCACTTAAAAAGGGAACGTGAATTTCTGACCTATTTTTCTTTAGAAGCCGTGAACGCGGCACTCACCGTCCGTAAGTGACAGTCCAGGTAACCAATCAGCGGCCGCCGTCCTCCAGCGGCCGTCAATGAAACAAGCGCGGGGGCGGGGCCTTGGCCGGCGGAGCGGCTGGCTCCGCCCACCGCGGCACCGCCTGCTCTCACCCCATTGGCGCAGGTGACCAGGCTCAGGATGCGGGAGGAGAGCGGAGGAGAGGGGAAGAGAGGGGAGACCGCGGATGGTGAAGGGTTCACGGGGAAGCTAGGATACCGGCCGGTCTCTGCTGGGCGATGACTGACTCACCGAACGGAGCACTTTGAGATAATATGAGGCTTTTTTCTGGTCGGTTATAGTACTATGATTTGGTATGTGGCCACTTTGATAGCAAGTGTATTCAGCATCCGAGGAGCGGCCGCTCAAGGTGAGTCGAAGTGCAGGATGCGGATCCACCGGCGTCCTGCGCTCAACTTTAAACTCAGCATTTTCCTCCCCCTTTATCTCACCCTTTACCGCCCTGCTTCTTTCTCAACTTTTTTTTTTTGTTGTTGCTGCTGAACCTGTCCTGAAGTTCAGGTGTTCATCACCTGGATCCGATCCGGGGAGCAGAACCGGTTCGGTTTGGTTTAAGAAGCGATCAGCGGCACGCGCAGAAAGCTGGTCATTATAGCGCTGCTGGTTTGGTTGATTTATTGTTCTGCTGGAGATGTGAGGTGTGTGCGTGTGATGCAAATATCCTGCTGTGTAATTATTATTATATTTCAGTCCTCAGATGTTTAATTTAGTCTTTGTTTGAGCTCCGGGAGGTTTTGCCGGGAGGTTGTGGGCTGCAGCATCAGGTTGAGCAGTGAGGAGGAGCGGGGCTCTCCTCCCCGGTGCGCCGGTCGGTAAAACGCTGAGTGGATTAACCTCTTCCTGTAATGAGGCGGTCCTTGTTCCGTCCGCCAGAGGGCGCCAGATCACGGAGCGCGCTGCTGTCGCTCCTGTAAATTGTAATGGCTGCACGTGACGCTGAGCAGCTTTGACAGCCGCGCGGGGTTTGCCCTGATGGCGTCATAGGTGAGAAACCCACCTGCAGCTCACCGTGTTCTTCTTTGGGTGGAGGGGAACAGGGAACCTCCAACCTTCTGCTTCCATGGACATCAGTAGGAGAGGAGAAATACCGGGATGTCACTATTGTTCAGGGCAGGGGGGGATTTACCATTATAGGCAATACTAGGCAGCTGCCTAG